TATTTATCGTGGTTATGAAGGCTCTTCTTTGGTTGACTAGCATTCTGCTCGCGCAAGGCGCAAAGTCGTGTGTCTAATATGATTTTAATACCATCCTTTGAATTTAATATAATACAATACTTCTATGCATATATGGTCAAGATGGTGGAGTACTTGAAGTACTAATCGAGAGGTGACGTGTAACTCCCATAACATGGTTCTAAAAAACGGTCGAGGCGTTCGCTTAGGCACTGCCTAGTCGCTGGGCGGTGACCGGGCACCCCGATTTCTTCGCGATCGGTGGAAAAAATCATTTCGGGGCCTAGGCGGTGGCTAGGCGGCCTGGACTAAATTTTTCTCGAACCAATTTATTTTTTCTGTCTTAAAACAGCGTGTGATCAAGAAGTATTATATTCCTCTATAATTTATTTTCATATTCCTTTGATAAAAAATAATTTTAAAATATAAATAAAATTTCTGGAATGTATTTTAAGATTTTTAGAGACAAAAAAACAAATATCTTATTTCATTTATTAATTATTTACTTACTGGTGATTTTACTTTAAAAACTTAACATTGAATGATTATATGAGGCATTTCTATTGTCAAACTATCATAGAATTAATAGTACTATAATTAATATTCAAACGAAATAAAAATAAAACAAAGAAAAAGGAAAAATACCCAGGTGCCCTAAGAATTACTCCCTAAGATTGGGACAAAGGAGAGTGGTCCGGTTTTTAAGAAAAATAGAGTTTTGTGATTGATAACGAATTAATAAAGTGAAATAATGTAAGAATGATTTAGAGTCACACAAATATTATCAAATATGGTACGGGACAAACTTAGTAGTACTGACGGAAAAGAAAAAATGAGACAATTATAGTGGAACGGGGGAGTATTAAATAAAGGAAAAATATTACGAGTAATATTTTTGTAAAACAATATTACATAAACATTATGTGATACTTAACATTTATATTTTTAGTTCTAGAATACTCTATATATCTTAACCTTATTTTTGAACAAACGGAAGAAGCACCAATTCCGTAAGGATGATTAAGGAAGGCTAAAAGAGAGAACAACTTTCTAAAGGTGATGTACAACTTCTTATGCATAGATTGTGTTGACACAAAACAATGGTACTAACTAAGATTCACAAATATAAGGTTTTGAGAAGGGAACTTTGTCCCTCCTTCTGTAGTCTATCAATAGAGGAGGAGAAGTAGAGGAGAAGGAGAAGGAGGAGAAGAAGAATAAGACTAGAATTTGAGTTGTGGCAGCGGAAGACGAAATAGTAGGTGTGACATCGGTGCAGAGGCGACGAGGGGTGTTGTGGTGTCGACAAGTATTTCAACGGAAGCAGCGAATCGGCAAGAGCGGCGGCTTTCTCCTTAGCTTCGATTGTGCAGAACTCCAATGACGAGGAAGACGGTGCATAGCTCCTAGACAGGAATGAAGCGCAGAGTGTACAGCACGTAGGGATGGGTGCAAATGGGAAGCGAAGTCATATTTTTGGAATAATTAAAAAGAGTTATATTTTTGTCTTGTAGAAGTCCAAGAGTAATATATATGCCATTTTTTCATAGAAAATTATTGATGCCGAACAATGGTAGGTCGTCCAGGGAGATAGAAGCAATAAATGTAAATTGTCTTGAAATCTCGTGTTCCTCTTCTCCCCTCGTGTTGGGTTTCGCTTTTGCTCTAATTTCCCTCCAAGGTGCCCTCTTGCTTATTATTAGCGGGAACTACGCCATTTGTCGGGACGCTTTTGATGTGCCCTTTACCTGCCGGGATTAGCCATTTATTCTCACTCATTTGAGTTCTCCCCTTTGCTGCCCTGAGCCACAGACCGAAAGGTCTCTCACCATTTATCTCGTGTCTTTCTCTCTTGCGCGGACAATGACTCTCTGCATGTCCTACTATTCCACAAAGAATGCAAAAACTTGGCAGATTCTCATAACAAAAGTTGACATAGTAATTGAACCTGTCCTCATTCCGCAGGAATAGTTTCCTTTTCATGGGTTTACCAATATCCAGGCTAACATGAATTATCATGAACAAATTCCATTTAATAGAGAAATTGTGTTCATTTACTTTAATAAAACGTCCCAAAAAATTACCAATTCGTTCAACATTAATCAAGGTAAAGTAACCAACCGGTATGTCATGGACTTTGGATCCATAATTTTGGTCTATTCAAAGGGACATGGATACATCCGCTTCTTTCATTTTAGTCATGATGATCAAATTTTGATCATAGATCCATGATCCCTCCTCAACAACTATTCATATCATCCTCATCATAAAACTGAAACATATATCTTCTAGATTCTAACTCTGCTTTTGGGACACCCTTCTCAGGTTTCCACACTAATGTCATAATGCGGAAATTAGTGAATCGTACCGTTTTTCTGACGTAATTGTGCCCACCAGAGATAAGTTTGTGTTGGATACAGCCGGCGCCACTGATTCCACTACCAGAAACTCCCCCCCCCCCCCCCCCCTCCATTTCCATTTGTCCATGGACTACACACAAACTTGCAGCGAAGGTGGCTTGCAGTTGAGCAATGATGCCTGCGTGAGTTACCAAACGAAGAACGTCCGCTGACTTGTTCCGTGCAAGAAGCTGCGCACCAAAAACCTAAAACCCTAGAAAGGGCCCGACCGCCGTCTCCTTTACAAAAATTAGTTAGAACCAATTTTTTTCAATATTTTTCCGTTCACAAGTGTGAATAGACGGCGATGCCCTCTTGAGAGTTCTCCATAATAGGAATTATTAAAAGTAGATCGCGAATATTTGGGATTAATAATATCATTTTTTTCTAAAATATACTTGTAATATTTTAAGAATGTTTTTAACTTTGACTGTTTTCAGTCCCAAACCAGACCATACCATATTAGATTTAGGAGGTGTTTGGAACTGATTAAGTTTCTTCTTCTTTTTTAAAAGTAGAAGTAGAATCAGAATCAATTTTCAGAAGCTGGTCTCCCATAGCTTATAAAAAAATTGATTCTAGGAATAAATTAGAACGTTAGAAGTACTTTTGCACTTCACCCAAACACTCCTTAAAGGAGCAAAAGCATATCCAAACGCCCCTTAAACAAAATAGACCAAGCCAATCATCCATATTTATACCAAACCAGATCAGACAAATTGAACCGAACGACTTAAACAACAAATTTCCGTAAAAACATCACATTTTGTAGGATTCAATTGAACCGAACCATCCATGTTAGGGGTGGGCAAACGGGTCTTAGAACTACGGTCCGGTCCGGGTAATGGCGGTTCGTGTCCAAAACGGCCCGGTTCCTTTTTTTGTTGCCATGAAACGGTCCGGGTAGGGTCGGGTAATTTTTTTTAAAGATCCGGGCCGGTTCCAAAATAAAAAAATACCGGATACCCGGCCAGGCCCGTTATATAAATTGTATATTGATTTATTAATAGTTTGGTGATAATCGGTTTTGAAATAGTTTTGTTTTCCTTTGCTAGAAGTAGGATTTTAAATTGAGTTGCAGTAACATTCTTTTGTTTTCAAATTACTGATTAAATTTTACATAAATTTCTTATTACTTTTTATTGTTATTGAATTATTTCTTTCTATGGAATTTAATTAGTTGTTAAAAATGATTTTGTAATATTTGTTTTTATAATATTGTTCTTAAAATGTATAAATTGTGCATACCACCCCATGTATGTGTCAACTTTGGCTAATACCAAAAATTTAATTAAAAAAACCACTTTAATATGTTATGTTAGACAACATGCTTAAATTCAAATGTTAGAAAACATGTACTTTGACTATGTTGCTGATTTTTGGAACTTCTTTAATTGCTTGGAACTTTTATATACATGAAATTATGGAGTATTGGACTTGTCACTTGTGTTACATGTGCACCACTATGTTGACATTTTGAAACATGATAATGTACTACTCCCTCCGTAACTTTAGAATCTTCCCATTTCAAAAGTAGGTAGATTAAGAATAGTGAAAGATGATATGAATTATTGAGGGTATGATGGGAAAATAGTGGAATAATGTGGTGGAATGTAGGATAAATCCAAAAAAAGTAGTTGTAATAGTGTATTACTCCGTATTTTAAGAATTATTGAGGGTATGATGGGAAGATTTAAAAATGGGAAGATTTTTGTGTTACGGACGAAAAAGGAAAGTGAGAAGATTTTTAAGTTACGGAGGGAGTATATTATTGAATATTGATTTTTGGAATTTCGTGAGTTTTAACTAATTTTAAGACACAAGAATAGAAACCGTAAAACACGGACCGGACCGACCCGTTTCAAACGGGCCGAGTAAGGTCCGGTTCCTATTTTGAAACTTGCGATACCCGGATCGGACCAGACAATGAAAGTATGAAACCGACGGTTCCATTTTATTTTGCATTACCCGTCCCGACTCGACTCGTGCCCAGTCCTTATTCCATGTTTGTACCAAACAAGTTAGCGCGGTGCATAAGGCGGTGCCTTTTGTCCTTTTACCTCTGGTATTGGGGAACGGAATCATAAGTTTTTTTTTTTAAGGGAAAACTGTCAAATAGGTCCTCGAACTTTCATAAAAAGGTCAATTAAGTCCTTCTATAGGATGTTTTGTCCGGCCGTCGCGATTTGGGGCAGTTCCCGGTGGAATTTTTTGATGAAATTTTTTGAGTATCTTATTCATCAAGTCTAGTTTACTCATACCAAATTTCAGCTAACAATTCAATCGGGAACACATTCAAATTAATTCTTGAAGATAACTACGCTTTTTTGCGTTCTCGAATTAATTTGAATGCGCTCTCGATTAATTTTTTAGCTGAAATTTGGTATGAGTAAACTAGACTTGATGAATACGATGCTCAAAAAATTTCATCAAAAAATTCCACCGGGAACCGCCCCAAATCGCGACGACCGGACAGAGTCTCCAATAGAAGGACTTAATTGACTTTTTTATGAAAGTTCGAGGACCTATTTGACAGTTTTCCCTTTTTTTAAATTAATTCATCCTCTTCTCGATCTAAATACTCCGTTTGTTTCTCATTGAATTCCTGTTTCGATTTCTTAGCAATAGTGTTTATCAAATTTCAGATAATCGAACCCTAACCCCAGGCCGCTAGGCATAAACCCTTCCACAACCACCCCTTTCACTGTTCATCTGCTTGGCGGGATGCAGGCTCCCTTACCACCAAAGAGCAGGCTTGAATTTCTGAATACCAAGCCGCCTGCCAATTATGTGGCCGGGCTTGGCCGTGGTGCCACCGGTTTCACTACCAGATCTGATATTGGGCCTGCCCGAGCTGCCCCTGATCTTCCGGATAGATCTGCTATTGGTGCCGGTGCTGCCGCACCACCTGCTGGGGTAGGTCGTGGCCGAGGAAAAGCAGGAGGCGGTGAAGAAGACGAAGATGACGAGAATGATGAGAAGGGATATGATGAGAATCAGAAGTTTGATGAGTTCGAAGGCAATGATGTTGGGTTGTTCGCATCAGCCGAGTATGATGAGGATGACAAGGAAGCCGATGCCATTTGGGAGGCTATTGATACTAGAATGGATTCAAGGAGGAAAGATAGGAGAGAAGCTAGGCTGAAACAAGAAATTGAAAAGTATCGTGCTTCAAACCCTAAGATTACTGAACAGTTTGCAGATTTGAAGAGAAAGCTTCACACGATGTCAACCCAGGAGTGGGACAGTATACCGGAAATAGGGGATTACTCCCTGAGGAACAAAAAGAAGAGATTTGAGAGTTTTGTTCCCGTTCCTGACACCTTGTTGGAGAAGGCGAGGCAAGAGAAAGAGCACGTCACAGCTTTGGATCCAAAGAGCCGCGCAGTGGGTGGGACTGAAACGCCATGGTCTCAAACCCCAGTTGCAGACTTGACTGCCATGGGTGAAGGGAGGGGCACAGTGTTATCAGTGAGGTTGGATCGTATTCTAGACTCTGTCACCGGACAGACTGTGGTTGACCCGAAAGGTTACTTGACAGACTTGAACAGTATGAAATTTAATAGTGATGCTCAGATTTCAGATATAAAGAAGGCCAGGTTGCTGCTTAAATCAGTCACTCATACCAATCCAAAGCACCCCCCAGGATGGATTGCGGCTGCCAGACTGGAGGAGGTTGCAGGAAAGCTGCAAGATGCAAAACAATTAATCAAAAAAGGGTGTGAAGAATGCCCCAAGAGTGAGGACGTATGGCTGGAAGCATGCCGGCTATCCAGCCCCAGCGAGGCCAAGGCGGTAATTGCAAGTGGTGTCAAGGTGAATCCAACTTCAGTTAAACTGTGGCTGCAGGCTGCAGAGTTGGAAGAAGACACTTATAACAAGAGCCTTGTTTTGAGGAAAGGGTTGGAGCACATGTCAGACTCTGTAAGACTTTGGAAAGCTGTTGTGATGTTAGCTAATGAAGAAGATGCCCGGGTTTTACTTCAAAGGGCTGTTGAGTGCTGCCCGTTACATGTCGACTTATGGCTTGCTCTTGCCAAGCTGGAGACTTACGACAATGCGAAGAAAGTGCTTAATATGGCAAGGAAGAAGCTTCCTAAGGAGCCTGCTATCTGGATTACCGCAGCAAGGCTTGAAGAAGCCAGTGGGAATATAAACACGGTTGTGAAGATCATAGAAAGAGGTATTAGGGCTTTGCAGAGGGAAGGCGTGGAAATTGACCGTGAGGCTTGGATGAAGGAAGCTGAGGGTTGTGAAAGAGCTGGCTCTGTCCTAACCTGCCAGGCTATTATCAGTAACACTGTTGGACTTGGGGTCGAGGAAGAAGACAGGAAAAGGACTTGGGTGGCTGATGCAGAGGAGTGCAAAAAGAGAGGTTCCATTGAAACAGCCAGACAAATTTACTCTCATTCCCTTACGGTCTTCCGAACGAAGAAAAGCATCTGGCTCAAAGCAGCACAGCTGGAGAAAAGCCACGGAACAAGAGAAAGTCTAGATGCCCTCCTCCGTAAAGCAGTTACTTACATACCAAATGCTGAAGTTCTGTGGTTAATGGGTGCCAAGGAGAAGTGGCTTGCAGGAGATGTGCCTGCAGCCAGGGCAATTCTTGAGGAAGCATTTGCTGCAATCCCCGACTCTGAAGAGATCTGGCTAGCCGCTTTTAAGCTTGAGTTTGAGAACAAAGAGACTGAAAGAGCCCGAAAACTGCTTGCTAAGGCCAGGGATAGAATACCCGGATCTGAACGTGTCTGGATGAAATCCGCAATTGTGGAGAGAGAATTAGGGAATGTGGAGGAAGAGAAATCCCTGCTTGATGATGGGTTGAAACGATTCCCTTCCTTTTTCAAGCTCTGGTTGATGCTTGGGCAGCTTGAAGAACGTCTTGGGCATCTGGAGGACGCCAAGAGGACATACGAGTCCGGCTTGCAGAACTGCCCAAACTGCATCCCCTTGTGGCTATCTCTTGCTAAACTGGAAGAGAGGATGAACGGTGGGCTGAGTAAAGCCCGAGCAGTTCTTACAATGGCTCGGAAGAAGAACCCAAAGAATCCTCAGCTGTGGCTTGCCGCTGTACGAGCTGAGGCACGCCATGGTTATAAAAAAGAAGCAGATGTTCTTATGGCAAAGGCATTACAGGAGTGTCCTACTAGCGGCATACTACTGGCTGCTTCAATTGAGATGGCTCCTCGCCCGCAGAGGAAATCGAAGAGTTCGGATGCTTATAAAAAGTGCAATCAGGATGCCTATGTTCTTGCTGCCATTGCGAAGCTTTTCTGGAATGACAGGAAGGTTGATAAAGCCAGAACATGGTTCAGCCGTGCTGTCACAATCGCACCAGATATTGGTGATTTCTGGGCTTCGTTTTACAGGTTTGAGGAGCAGTTTGGGTCTGAGGATACACGGAATGAGTTGTTGAGGAAGTGTGTTGCTGCAGAGCCTAAGCATGGAGAGAAGTGGCAGGCTATAGCCAAGGCAGTTGAGAACTCTCACAAGTCTACTGATGAAGTCTTGCGTCAAGTAGTCGCTGCACTGAAGAAGGAAGAGAGTGTTACTGCTACTGAGATCAGTGAGCAGTGAGTAGGTCTCTGACTCTGATTTTGAAGGCATTCAGTCCACTGGTTGGGTTGAGGTATTAAATCTTGCTTATCTCTCTGTGTCAGATTTGATGTTTTTGATAGCAGCATTGATTTGAAGTGTTTATCTATGTTTGGGGGATTTGTTCACTAGTAGGTAGTCTTTAATGGTTTAGTGAATACGCTAGTAAGTAGGTCGCTTTGATTTAAGTTTTTGTTTTTTTGGTTTGTGGTATTTGCTCAAGTGATAGTTAAAAGGGCCTTCCTTGGTGGTGGTGTTTTGTGGTAAGTGTTGCTTCGCCTGTAATAATTCTCTTCTTTTCCATTGTTTGCTACTGACGTCCTTCCTAAAATGTCTTGCATGCACATTAAAGCTTCTTTAATAGTTGTGTTCATTGGGCATTTATATCAACATACAATTTAAAAATATTAGGCACTGAGCAAACAGAAAATGGGTTAAGCGCATCCCTGTAAGGGAGTCAGGCATAATATAGGCCCGATTAGTACATGCTTATTAAAGGATGTGTCTGGCATAACAAACATTTGTTGCACAACTGATGGTTGTGTTCCCTTAAACAGGCAGGTTGAGCAGGCCAGTCTCCTCCAGAAACGCCGTTCATACACTGGCATTGTAAGAGACTAAGAGCATGCTGCCGTGAACTTTGCTCTTGTAAATTGTATGCCTTTACGTTGTCAGACTTGGATGCCCAGCACTTTTCCAGCCAAGTGTCAAGTTCCCAAAATAGTGTGTTATCTAATCCCTCACTTATTAGAAAAGTTGGCAATTAAGTCACTGGTTCCCGATAAAGGACTTGTGGAACACTCGAACCTGGGATGTCTTGCTATCCACAAAAGCGTGGATCTTTTTGTTTAGGATGGAGGTTTTTTGGTGGAGAAAGCATTGAATCGCCTATTTTATATTGATGAATATAATATTTGTTATACCCACAAAGGTGTATGGGAGTGATCACCTATCATTTTATTCTTCCTATTTTTATAATTTGATAAATAGGGGTTTTTCAAAAATATTGCTAAAATAAAATTTATTTACAAAAATATGACTAATAGTTATTACAATGTCATGGTAACTTAAGTTTAAAAATTGAACAAAAGTTACCATGATCCAATTAATACTCTAATCACTAGGCACATTTTTTTTTAGTTAAAAATGGCTTCACTGCATTTGCGTACCGCTTGTGCAGTTCTATTGTCAATGACCTCAATCACTCAATTTGCTTCATCTATGAATAGGATTGTTTTGATCGAGTCTAGGCATGACGTCAATCTCTTGCCCATTTCTCAACCGTGTCTACACTATCTTGCACGTTCCAGAAATTTTGCGTCTTGACACGTTAAACTGACTAGCAACGAGCTTTATTATGCTTCTCTTGACTTACCATTCACCCATTTGGCTAAAAGAGTACTTACCTCTATTTTTAGCTCGGATCACTAACATTATCTCTTGGTGTATTTCCTCAGGTACCAGAGTTAATGCAAGAGTTGTTGCAGAGAGTGTGTAAATGGCTGCAACTCAGCACTTAGTGACAAAGGAAAGGAATAGGAGTACTGTTATCCATTTAGATGGGTAGATGGGTAATACTGGTGGAGCAATTTAGTTACAAGTCTCTAAAGGGAAACTGTTATAGCTGTGTTTGGATTTTTTGGTATCAGCCATGTATTTCCCTTCATATTGTGGCTGCAGAGTTGTAAAATGTCACTATACTGTACTTTGTAATTAGCTTATCAAGTTTTCAGATTTTTGTTTTAGAATTTTATTTACTTTTAGGAGTTTTCCAACTATACGTAACACTTTGCTTCATAAAAAAAAACTACCGTGTAACACTTCCAATAATTTATTAACTTTTTACTATTTATTACGTAGTATTAAATATTAATCAAGGCTCAGATAGAATACACTACTATAGAATATAGATACGGAGACCGGGTATGAAGTTTACTATGCATCAAAATTTAGTCATGCATTTTTGTTAGAATTATGATGCACTCAACTTTGTGCATTAAGGATTATGATACACCAAAATTCTTTTAGGGAAAAAAAATACTAAAAGTGCAATTTTAGAACACATAAGTGCATCAAGGTCACTTTAAATTATTGTGCATTTCCCACCCATAAGTGCAATTTGTGAAGCTACTTAAATTTATACGCTTTCACTCAAATATATTATTTTTTACTTTTAAATTCAATACTTGCTTAAATAGTCTGTTTTAAGGGGAAAATGTGAAGTGAATACAGAGTTGTACATTTTTGTATTGACCATAATGCACGATATTTAGTGCACCTTATCACATCCCCTACTGTAAGCAGTAAGCGCACTTTATTTTTTAATTTAAAATGCATAGTACGAAGTGCGTTATGCATTTTTGGAATTGCATATTTGAATTTTAAGAAAAGGAAAAACTTTAAATAAGCCCTCGAATTTATATGAGAAGTGCAAATCACCCCCTTATATAGAAAGTTATGTTCGACCGTCGCCATTTGAGGCGGTTCCCGGAGGAATTGTTTTATGAATTTCTTTTAACATCTTCTTCACCAAATTTCAGCTAAAAAATTAACCGGGAAGACAGTCAAATGATTTTTTGAAATATACTGCGATGTTTAACTGCGCTGTTATCTTCAAAAATTCATTGTACTGTCTTTCCAGTTGAATTTTTAGCTGAAATTTGATATGCGTTAACTAGACTTAATAAATAAGATGCTAAAAAAGTCATCAAAAAATTCCACCGGGAACCGATCCAAATGGCGACGGCCAGATAACCTCCTAAATAAGGAGGTGAATTGCACTTTTTATGTAAGTTCGAGAGCTTATTTAATAGTTTTCCCTTAAAAATATGCACCAAACAACAGTATACTTCTAAAAGTGCAACTCAAGAGCACATAAATGAATTAATTATCAATTTACATAATTGCGTATTTTCTCTTAAAAATAAGGGATAAGGGTCGGATAGGGCCTCGAACTTGAAAAAAAATGTCAAATAAGGCCATATTTAGGATGCTCTGTCCGGCCGACGCCATTTGGGGCGGTTCCTGATGGAACTTTTTGATGAATTTTTTTGAGAATCTTATTCATTAAGTCTAGTTTACTCATATCAAATTTGAACTAAAACTTCAATCAAGAAGGCATTCAAATGAATTCTTGAAGATAACTGTGCAGTTAAAAGCGCAGTTATCTTCAAGAATTCATTTGAATGCCTTCTCGATTGAATTGTTAATTCAAATTTGATATGAGTAAACTAGACTTAATGAATAAGATTCTCAAAAAAATTCATCTAAAAATTTCACCGGGAACCGCCCCAAATGGCGTCAACCGGACATAGCATCCTAAATATGGCCTTATTTGACATTTTTTTCCCAAGTTCGAGGCCCTATCTGACCAGATGGATAGAACATGTTCTTTTAAGCTGATTGATTTCCTGTCACATAACTGTATGAGTTTCATGTACATTATTTTTAAATAAACTTTGAGTGCATTCAAATTTATGGAAGATGTACGTCAATGTTGCAAGTCAGAAACTAAATAGTACACTTCAAAATATAAATAAAATATACGGAGTATATAATTTCAAACCTCAATGGAAATAGTCTCAAATGAAATAAGAATCGCAGCTAGAAACCCAAACAAGGAAAAAAAAATTAAAGAGGAAAAAGAATGTTAATAGAAAAAAGGAATTAGTATATGAAAAGTTATTACTTCCGGTAAAAGACTAAAAGTAAGACTAAAAGTAAGAGATAGTTTCTATGGTACTTTAAGATATCATACATTTGTCTATATGAACGAATGATGCAGTTGAATTATTTAAATTTAAATTAAAAATGATTTAATGATGTGGACCAATCAAGTGAATGATAAGTATGGTACCCCGTTTTTTTTATATAGATACAAGAGTTGTCACCAAAGTAAGAATGTAACAACTGTAGTGTAGCATTAATATCGGATATGTTAACTAACACTAATTTACTAAAAACTCCTCATTGAACATTGATGCCGAATAAATCTCGTTCTAATACTTATAATTTTGGTTTTATCCAATGGTCCCTATACATATTAACTCCATCACCAAAACAACTCATTTTCTTTGTTTGGGTGTCCTAAAATTAACTTCTCATTTCAATAAAAAGTAACTTTTTCATATAAAAAATATCAAAATTACACTTACATTTACTAACTTTTTACTTGATTTGACGTAAAGTTAGAATATTATTGAAAAGTCAACTATTCACTTTAGCTTTTCACTAAAATGTACTCAAGTCAAAATGAACTTTCCCGGACGGAGGGAGTATATTATTGGAAGTTATTTCCAAGACTCAAGTCAAAATGTACTCAAGTCAAAAGCAGTAGAACGAAAGGACATATCAAACTCACAGGTCGACCCGATTGACTACCAGCCGATGACTCAATGGTCAATTCGAGCGGGTAACAATTAGAATCACAATCATTTCTGATTGGCACCCAAACTCAATGACGAAAGAAATCTCAAACCAGATGGAGGGGTAGGGACGGCATATTTTGGCGAGGTCACTATCTTCGCCAGCGATTTGAGATAGAAATCCGATTTGGTGAACACTGGTGCTTCAGAAAGAAAAACTTTATTCTTGTCGGTCAAAAACTTAATTGGAGTGTAGGAAGCTTTCTCCACTCAAATATCTTCAATATCTTCCTTCACACTGTCTAATTTTTGTATTACCATATCAAGTTTTAATCAGACTACAACCATAAAAGGAAAAAAATAATTAGCAAATATCTAATTTGATGATGTGACGAACTTTATCTAGATTAGACATCTATGCATTAGGGATGCCTTTATGTGTTCAAAAATTTGTGAAATTTTACCACTTTGACTCGAATATTGTGCCATTGACACTTTTGGTACTAGACTTTTAATATTTTCATTTAGTCCTTGAATTCAAAATTTTCCATATTTAGTCCCCAAGTATTTTCAAATTGACACTTTTAAGTTTTAATCCTACTATGATTTTGGCACAACAAACGGAGGACTAAATGTGTTTATTTTATTAAAGTCGAAAGACCAAAAATTTCAAAGACGAATATAAAAATATCTTTCCCACAATAGTTACATAAAATTGGAGGACCAAAAGTAGCAAAAACTCAAAATTTGTTGGCACATGTCTTGCACAGTAAATAGTTGGTTAATTGAAAAAATGACTTACAAACTGAAAGATTGCACATACATACTTGGTTAACTGTTGTTTGCTTTGTACATACACTAAGGCGCAGTTAACAATCACATCCTGCTTGCAATTCCAAGTATTGATACGGTGAATCATAAAGGATGTAGCAATTAAAAACAGAAATAAAAACCTGAGGGAAACGCTAGTTAGGAAAAGATGAAAACACTGGTGTTCCCAGAATTATCTCCTTCATCACTTATCAACCTCTGGTGAAGTTAAGGATGTTTTGTGAGCAGAGTCAGGTTCGGCTGACGAAGTGAGGAGCATAGTGGATAGAAGAGGGGAAGCCTCTTGATCACAACCATCTTTCCCGCAACCTATATTTGAAATATTTGGCATTAACAGATGGTAAAGTTTGGTTTTTGGAAGAAAATATTGCAAGTATGAGAATGACCTGACTGAGAAGCAGTGGTAGTGGTAGTAGTAGTAGCTGCAGATGAGGGGAAAGGACTTCCAGTCCCCTTCTTCATCCTTGTCTGCAATGTGTAAAGCATAATTACTCCCTAGTGGGCTCTTAGACTGTGTGTGTACGTGCATGTAGCTTATTTTAAGCCTCAAATGAAGTGTTAGTCTTGTTTGGTAAAAATCAAAATAGCATAAAATAAGTTCTCATTTCAAAATCTATCAAAAAAACTTACATTAATGAACTTACAATTCCTTTATTTACAATTCTTTTTTTACTTGGAGTGGTTTTGGTTCGAACAGTTCAGATCAAACTAGACCAGACCAAAAAATTACAATCCAATTCAAAACATCCTACATAGGATTAAATCATTGACAAAATACCTAAATAAGAGACTACATTTTTAAAGAGAGAATTCCCTAAATAGGAGTAAAAACGTTTTGAAATTCCAAAATATTTCTGCCAAGTTTGGCGTTACAAGGCTTTAAACATGGCATTTTTTCAAACTTGGCAGATTACTCCTATTCAGGGAATATAAAAACATGATACTCCTATTTTGGAATTCCAAAACGTTTTTACTCCTATTTAGGGCAATTTCTGATTTTTAAACCTATATGAGACTAAAACGGGATTACAGGGCATAAATGCATAATTAACTATCATTCTTTAATTATGTAAAATTATACTCCGTAACAATGTTTTTACCATCAACAGAAACAACTACTATCGGCCGCTATCCCCCGACTTTAGTGATCACGTCGGATACAATAAAATATGATCTCTTTAAACATTCTCACTCCTACAACTCTCATTCTTAACCCTCACTTCTATGTCACTTTTGACATTGTCAATCCTAACATTTTCATTAGTGACGATAGTCATATCTCATCTCGTAACATTCTCACTTCTATGTTATGTTAGCATTCACTATATCTCTTTGCCACGATGCGCACTTTGAATCCTAAAACTCTCATTCCTAACAGTGTAACGTAACTCCGAATTTTGTCAACTTTTACATTGTCACACCACTCACGCCCAAGTCCTGACACCGTCATGCATAAGTGCATAACATTGTCACTACTTATACTGTCATGCAAATCAGTGTTGGCATAGCCTATCACACTGGGCTGGTACAAATTATTTATCCAGACAAATTTTTGTATGATTTTTTTAAACATAAATTCGAAGTATTTACAAATTTGGCATGGGCCAGGGCCTAGTACACCCCACTAGCTAAGC